TTTCAAAGTGACCGAAGAACGAAGGAGAGATTATGATCCATATAATACATTACAGATTATTTTATGTAGAAGAGAGAGAGCGTAGGGCAAGTATAAGATTGTAAAGTTATCCCAGGCGAAAATGTAACTTATANATTACAGATTATTTTATGTAGAAGAGAGAGAGCGTAGGGCAAGTATAAGATTGTAAAGTTATCCCAGGCGAAAATGTAACTTCACAACATAGGCTCATGGAAATGGAGTTGTATAGTGGGAAGAAAATATACAAAAACAGAGAGAACACAGAAGGAAAATTGAAAATACTGTAACGTGACAAAATGTGAATTTTTATATCTATTGAGCCTTCTCTTTTTCTTTTAAAATTTATTTGCTTATATTATACAGAGTGATTTTTTTATCATAACCCACTCAATTACTTGCAGAATAATAATAATTTAAACATTTTTTTTTTTTTATTATCTTTAGTTACACATTATTCTTGAATTTTTAACTATGTAATACTTTTTAAGTTCATCCCTTATGCCTTGGAGGGGGGTCAACTTTGTTTTTTTAAATGGTAACACATATTTTTAATTTAATAAAATGTTTGAGTTTTTAATTTAATAGTAAATGGCATTTGAATTTTTAATATAACTTTATTAGCTTATTAGATATAAACATTTAAAGTTTCAAAATTTTGAGTTAATATACATGTATAATACACATGGGATTGTAAATACAGGTAGCTAATTGGATTTTTATGACATTGCTGTCTCAGTCACGGATTGTTTATTATCAATAATGATTATCAATAGATATACTTTCTGTATTGTCAGTTAGTGTATTTATAAACTCATAACAATGTGCCTTACTACAATTGATAATAACAATGCTGTGTACCTGCTAATATCGATGTTATAAAAAACCAATTAGCTACCTATATTTGTAATCCCTTGTGTATTATACCTGTATATTAATTCAAAAATTTGAAACTTTAAATGATTATATCTAATAAACGAATTAAGTTATATTAAAAATTCAAATGCCATTTACTATTAAATTAAAAACTCAAACATTTTATTAAATTAAAAATATGTGTTACCATTTAAAAAAACAAAGTTGACCCCCCTCCAAGGCATAAGGGATGAACTTAAAAAGTATTACATAGTTAAAAATTCAAGAATAATGTGTAACTAAAGATAATAAAAAAAAAAAATGTTTAAATTATTATTATTCTGCAAGTAATTGAGTGGGTTATGATAAAAAAATCACCCTGTATATATATATATTTTTTTTCATTATTTACTATGAGCTAGAATTGCTATTTACAGGGTTATTGGTCTGTGATGTGTCATGTATACTTAATACTTATATTATTCCCGCAGTGCCCAAGTACGGTCCGGCCGGAAAGATTATAAAAATTATCCGCCACGCGTGGAGTATACGGACTTGTTCTAGTGCGGAAGACACTTCACGTGTACTGTCTAAAAGTTGTAGGTTAAAATTTTTGTCTTGTCTTAATAATTGTTATTTTTTTTCTTTCTTGTCCCATCATTTTCAGAGTGTTTTTTACCTTCGGATTTTGTTCACTATTAATTTAACTGTCATAATCTAATAAAGTTCCCTTAATATTCTTAATAAACAAAAATCTTTTTATTGCGTGAATATCTTCAATATTCCCTAGTTTTAAGGTGATGGTTAATGCCACCACTGGTGACATTAAGTAAAATTTATTTTGTTTTATCTACAAGGTATCAGTACATTATAGTCTACAATAATACTTTATATTTTAGTATGTATCTATATATTTTTTAATTATTCGATGATACGCTTTATTGCATCATAGTGTATATTATCTGGTTTTATCTTGTTTATTTTTTCTTAAATCGACTTATAGTCCTGGTGTGGTTTTTTGATGATCGAGACTTTTGTCTAAGTGATTGGCGACTCGACTTCCCTTTTTGAAAGAAAGCCATGAGGGTGGCGTCTCCACAATTTGTTGCGTGTCTCAAGTCGTCACATCTAATACCGTGCTGGAAATTGAAACGGAAAAAAGAAAAGGGTTTTAAAGACAGTAAATGAGAGGACGGTGTAGAATTTTAAGTGATACATAAATGATGTGGGGAATAGGTTTGCTAGCTATATAAAGTATACTGCAAAGGGGTTTGTTGGTGAGAATAGGAATATAATGCCAGTTAATAAGAAAACCTGGCGGTGGGATGAGGGCATTCAGAATACCACAAAGAGAAGAAAAAGCAGTTCAAAATATAGTGGAGGAGCAAAAGGAGAAATTATTAGACTAAGAATAAACGGAAAAAGAGTATGATAGAATACACAGAAAGGTTTTAAAGTGGGCATTAATGAAAAAAGGATTGCCGAAAAGGTACATTAATATTAAAGAGGATATGTATGATGGCACTTTCACTAGGGTAATAAGTTTTCGAGGATTAGCAGAAGATTTTAGGATAAGAGTAGGAGTGCACCAAAGTTCTGCTTAAAGTACTTACTTATTTCTATAGTGATAGATGAAATTACATGAGAAATATAGTGTTAATAGAAAAAAATAGGGAAATGAAGAATTATTTTGTTTTATGTAAATACTCATTTTTTACTAATTAGTAATAATATAAAAAAATTGAAGTGTTAGAAAAAGTCTGATTGCAACACATTTGAAACACAGCGCAAATAGTTGATTTAGAAAATATTTTTGATTCTGATGAAAGTTCCTTGTAGGAAAAGAAAATAGAAAATGTTATTGTGATTTATTCTAGTTGAATTTTACGATTTTAATAATTATAGTTATTTGACACCTAAAAGTCGACACATATTGAAAAAGGAAGGTTGAAGATAATTTATAAATATTTATATAAAATACTTAGTTCTTTTATTATAATTAATTTTCTTGAGAGCAATTATTTACAATTTTTAGTTACCTTGACAACCCTGTTAACACATAAAAAAATTCTAGAGCAAATTTTTTATTTTTTTTTTTAATAATTAAAATATAGTTTCAACTAAATATTTTATCTATGTAACATTTCTAAAATTATTAAGAAAATTATAATTCACTATTAAAACTTATAGATTATACATTTTTTAAGGTTAATTTATAAACTCAATACAGATTATAAAAACATTAATTAAAGCAATGCATCTAAATTTGTAATTACTAAAAATAAAACTATTATGTCTTAAGCTCTAAATAATAATTACTTCCAATAAATTATTATTAATAATATTTTAACTAACATTTAAATAACAATTATACATAAGAATTATAACTCACACAATTCTTTATTTTTAATTAAGGAATATTATCATTGGGTTATCAAATGATATAAATACATAACATTAAATATTAAAAAATTGCTACCTTAACATAAAGCCATAGTAATTTTTTTTTAATAAATGGCAAGTCACTTCAGCTTGAATGATTTTTTTTGCAATTCCAATCAGTAATTTTTTTAGTTAAAATTTTATGAATAATAACTTGATATACTATGTTTCCAAAAGTATGTATGTTTCACTTGCTTATTTTATAAGCTATATTTTTATAGAATCTCATTGAATCATACGAACAAATTTTTAGACATAAATTTAGTAAAATTTATAATAATCATTGATTATATATTTCAATTCTTAAATTATATGGCATAGCTAACAATAATAAAAAATAAAAACTATTTTGAATTTCATGAGTGCTCTAAGAAAATATTTCAATTAGCAATATTATCAAAGAAAAAACTAAAATTGGAAAAGTATAAACATTTTATATATACAAAAAAAAAAAACAATTATTTATATGATTTCAATAGTACAATCATTATCATTTACACATTCTTATTGTACACTTTATACAATACTTTTACAAATAGCTAATAAAACATCATGAAAAATATATTTTTAAAATTGGGATGTTAATTTAAGACTGGAATTACACAATATATCTACTTCATACAATTATTTAAATGCCAAAAAAATAATTAAGAGCAAATTAAAGATATAATAAAGAACACATAACAAAGTGTTCTATAATTACATAATATATCATTAACTTAAATTGTTAGTACAATAAAATAAAATAACTAAAAAACATGGGAATACAATAAGGATATAACACTAAGTAGTGGATATATCAAATATTTAAATAATATGACATTATAAAATCTATACCCAATAAATAATAGTAGTTAATAATTATTAATATTATAACTATGGGATAATTTTAGTTTGGTAAATTGAAAAATTGTTCCATGTTATAAATATGCTGTTAAATTAATATTATAAAAAATAAATTATTAATATTATACAATAATTATTAGAATTATTTTAATAAACCAATTATCCAAAAAGTTTATCAAAACATGAATGACAGTAAGGTTTATCATTTTGTTCCTTGAATGTACCCTTGTTAAGTTGTTTCAAACAAAAAGCACACACAAAGTGTTCTGGATGAAATTTTTTAAACATGGCAGTTATGCAACGACCAGCAATTGGTTTGTGACATCCAGCACACAGCGAACCACGTTTAGCGTGATAATGTGTTTCACAATATGGTTGGCCTTCGTGATCAAAGAATTGCCCGCTAACAAATGGCATTCGACAGTCCTGTAAAACGGACAGGCTAGTTAATTTTAAGGAAATAAAATTATGGTAATAATTTGAGGATAATTGTCCCACTATAATCATGAATAACATTTAAATTAAAAACTAATGTTTTTCAATAAAACAAATTTTTTTGATAAAATTACTGGTATAAAAGTGAAGGAATTACATTTTATTTAAAAATTTACAAAAAAGATACACACACAAATATATATATATAGTGTCCTTTATTCTGACAATTTGCCTTAAAAAAGTATGAGAATTTAACAGAATATCACGGGAGACCTATACAGGTGTTCAAAAAGTGAGGAAACAGGTCAATTTGTACAAACAGTTGATCTGTTTGAAATATATTCTGAATAAATAACGGAAAGCAGTTAAAAACACAAGTGTTTATATATTTTATTGCTGTATAATTTCATCATTAATAGACACAGGTTATAATTCTTCAATTAAAATCTTTTACTGTGTCACATATTTTTGTCAAATAATTTAATGACTTAAGAGTATATATGGATTAAGTTGGATAGGTATGGAAACTGCAATGTTATTCTAGTTATAGCAAAATAATATCCCTCAGTAGATATCATATGAATCAATATAAGATTTTGTACATTTAATAATAATATATTTTATGATAAATTTTTAACATGCAATTATAACGAGCTATAATTAACATTTATAAGATATTATAATAACAAGTATGTGTAATAAAATTAAGAAAAAAATTCAACAAAGAATAATCTGAAAAAATAAAAATTGATGTTTAATCCTCCTCGTCAACTCCAACACATTGTGCACATACTGGTTTTCCTTCAATGGCGTAAAATGATTTGCCTGTAACTGGCTTCTTGCAGTCCTATAAAGTATAAATGTTGCAACCTACCATAAAGTGAACTTCTAAATTATGAAAACGACTTTCATCAAGCTGTTAATAATGAGGATAAAAGATAAAACAATAATAGCATAGCAAAATACACAAACAAATTAATAATAGTTAATTAAATGCTAAAATTTTATTATACAAGAAATTCAAGAAATTTTTGCTATAAAATGATTAATATAGTCATTATTTTGTGGTATGGCTAAGAAAAAAAGATGAGAATTAAACATCAGTTAATTGCAAGATGGTGTTAATTCGCCTACACAGTAGTTGGTTTTTATTAATAGCAGCTATGGATTTTGGAGTTTACTGGTCTTATGCCAGGACATTTGTTTGAAAATAATATACTTTAGAAATCACATGACCTATAATATTTAGTTAAAAATAAATGCATTTTAAAAACACAAGTTTAAAAACAATCCTAAAAAAATATCTGATGTAAAAAAACAAGAAGTTATACTAATATCATACCCTGCACACAAAGCAGTTGGAATGCCATTGAGTGGATAATGCTGAAACATAATTCTCCATAATAGGTCGATTACATCCTCCACATTTGGGAGCGAACATGTCAAAATAATCATCTCGGCAGTATGGTCGACCTTCACGTTCGTGAAAACCTTCCTCGCCAAATTGTTTGCCACATTGGGCGCAGAAAAAATGTTCAGTATGCCATGTCTTTTCCAGAGCAGTTACACATTTCTAAAATACCGTTTTATAATATTGGGTCCTATTTTAGGATATATTAATTCAATTTTTAATATATGATATCTTACATCTAATATGGGTCCGTTACAATAGGCACATCTAGGCGAGAACAAGTTATGGTAATCTGGTTCACAGTACGGCCTACCATCACGCTCGAAGAAGTTACGGGTACCCAGTTCTTGAGAACAATGCGTGCAAATGAAGTGCTCCGGATGCCATGTCTTTCCCAATGCTGTTATCACTTGTCCAACAATAGCTTTGTCGCATGCCGTACAACAGCCTTTTTGAGTAGTATTTACACCTTGACGATTCATTTCAGCCGTCAAGCTTCCAAGCATACAATCCAAAGGTGCTGCTGAGTCAACAGACTCTATTGCTTGACTCGCTTTAATTGAATTAGACACCTAAAAGTACAAATCCAAATGTAAAATAATTATTTCAGAACATTTTAATATATAAGAATAAATAAATATATTTACGATAGTTGGTTAAAATATAATTTAGTCACAGATCAGAGAATGAGTTTATTTGTATTATGGGGCGTTTTGAGATAGGCGTTGGTATATAAAACACGGCTGTTTTAATAATGGTTGCCAAACTCCGCCCTTTTGTAATAAGAAGGGACAAAATAAAAAGTCTCTTTAAAAAGTTATTTCTGGAGACTACCAATAATGGGTAAAACAACAAAATGTGATCTGCACAAGTCACTAAATTTTCGCTTAATTTTAATTGAAGATAGAGCTTATACAACATAAAAAAATCTACAAACTAAAATTACTCAGCCTATTAGGAAAGATTTCAATGATTTTTTAATCAACTACATTAATAGTTATATGTTTGAATTTGTTTATTAAAATGACTTTCCGGAAATAATTTTTAAAGGAAAATCTAGAATAAGAACACAGGGTCATGGTTAATGTCAAGGTCAGAAAATAGTTCCATTCAAATTATCAACATTATTTTTTAAAATACAACTTAACACTAAAATTGTGACTTAAATATGTATTTATATTAGATTCAAAAATTTTACTTAACCATCGTTATTATTACTTGGTGAACATTTTTTTTTAACATAATGAAATTTAAGCTAAAAAAAATTATTAGAATGCTTGATATTTTTACAAATAAATTTATTAATTATTCTGAAAAGTTATCAATTAAAATGATGAAAAAATTAAAATGACGAGTAAAAAAATAATAATAATAATGAAGTACACCGATGAAATTAATATCTTTAATCATAAGCCTTATAGGATTTCAATAATTTAAACTCAAACTTACCAAGTATATTATACCAAATATATATAAATAAAATTAACACGTATTGAAAAAAGAAATATGAATTTTAATGTGATTAATTTAATAACTAGTAAGAATAATATATAAGTGACAAAATATTCACAATAATCTTAAATAATAATAACAATTTTAATTTAACATAATATTAGTACTTAATAGAATTTTTTGATGCAATAATAAATTATATTAAATATACTAAAAAGACATCTGAAAAAGACAATTGGTTAGTTAAGCAACTCAGATTTTTGCAGTTTTAAAGTGAGAATTATAAAAGAAGACCCTTTCATTATCGTAAATTGGAAAATATTTTTTTAAATCTATTAGGTATTCAGTCATAATTCATGACTTTATTATCAAAATTTATAAAAAGATAGAAAAAGTCTTGGGAGGTCTCCAAAACTTAGACACCGTAAAATGTCATTTATTCTACTTTGTGTTAGTTGTAGAACTGACTTGACCTAATCCTTAGTTTTAGTGCTATCCAGTAACTACCCACACAGCATATAATCATTTATTTAAAATTAAATAAAACTGACTTGTCAGAATTAAACTTTGAATAAATATTGCAATTTTATAAATTTATAATTAAATAATTTTTTATATAAATTTTGACACGGTTATTAAGGAAATTTCATCACTGAATTTTTACCACTAAATTTTACAAAAAATATGCAAAAAAGATAATTATGCTTAGATTTACAATTGTCAACCTATGAAACTAATTTTAATAAATGATACCCAAAATAACCTGACTTCAATCAATCGTCGCCAAAAATTGAAAAAACTCTCAATTTTAGAAATTTTGAAATTATCTCAAAATTATAGCAACATTAGGAACAGGATTAAACTAGTAATACAATAAAAGAAACAATGAGTCTTCTTCATATTAATTTATTAATTTTTATGAAAATTCAATGAAAAATATAAGTACAAGAATGGCTTGAAAGAGACTACCACGCATATAAAACTTATTTTTCAGCTCAATTTTTGAAGATATTCCGAAATGTCTGACAGTTTTTAACTTATAAGTTACACTTTGAAAGCTTTAAATTGATTTAAATATGAAATTAAAGCTTTCGAAATGTATTCATATATTAAAAAAAAATCTATCACAGGATTGTTTTCCTATGAGAAATCGACCGTTAAAGCAAAAAAATAACTTAATTTTTCAGACACTTTTCTAAATGTCTAAAATTGTGATAGTTTTTGATTATTTTGCAATGATGGATAAAACTAGATTAAAATATAGTTCGTTTGATATATTGAACATTAAAATAGGTTCAATGAGAGTTAAAAACGAGAGTTCAATAGGTTAAAAATGAGAGCTGAACATTTATGGATAAATATAAAAAACACACATCATCACAAAATCAAACCTTTTCAGCTACACATCAAAGCTAAAAATAACAATTTATGGTCCAGTATTTTAAAAGTTAACCTCATTTTTATACCTAGACGGGAGGAAGAATATGGCCGGAAAATGACTAGTCATAAAAATAACAATCTCCACTCTTCATCTCTAGTCTACGTTTGAATTATTAATAACTAACTAAATATTAAACCAAATATTGTTATCAACCAGTCATTCTCTTAATTATTTATTTATTTATATAAAATAAACGGATTAAAACACTTTAGCAAAAAATAAGTAACTGTGTGTACATTTTCAACTTAAATAACGATGAACAATTTAAATACCCTATATAATATATTATATTATATGAATAACAAAATTGAGATGTATTAATAAGTGTGACAATAATAGTAGAATACATAATAGTAATAAAATTAAAAAATATAAAAACAATGAACAGAAAAACAATAAAATCAGACCATCAATTCAAACAAGTAAATTTAAAGCAATACAGGGTGTTCAGTAAGTTAGGAAACAGTTAAATTGTTACAAACAATGAATACAATAGAAATTCGTTTCCTTATTTACTGAACACCCTGTATACATATTCCATCTGAATACATTACGTGACAAAAAAATCAACATAATCCATTAAACGGTTCGCCAAAGACAGAGTTCTAGGGAAAAATGAAGTAGAAGTATAATTGTTTTTATAAATAGTGACACGACTTACGTCTCAAAAATGTGGTCACTGGTCGACACTAGTTTTGAGGGTAGAACCCGTGGGCCAATTTATTAATGAGCAACAACAGGTTACTTTAACAAAAAAACAAACCGAAAAGATGAACACAATAATAATAATCTACGCATAATATCGCGGAACTTTCCGGTGTGATCCTCGGGCGACAAAAGGTTAGCAGCGTTAATGGCGACGGTACGTGGGTGCGGATCGGTTCATCAACGTTGTCACTTTCACAACGGGAAGAAGACTCCTGTCTCGTTTGCGGCGTGCCGTTGGGTTGGGTTGGTCGTCGGCCGTTCGGCACTTATTGGACTTTGCACCGTAGCGTATGACACGCGGTGTTGGTCAGTCAGATACTCATAGTTGGGCGACGGCTGATAAAGGTGACACGAATCGCGGGGCATCGTGTATAACGAAGCGACGCGGGGCCGTGTCAATAGGAACATGAAATAAGTCGAACTTCCTTAATCGGTAAGTAAGCACATTAAATTTAATATGAGATAGTAATTATAGAGAATTATAGTGGCCATTCAATAAGTCATATAAAACACAATATTCGCAACATTTTTATTCGAGTTACAAGAAACATTCTCATTTGGGTAATCTGCACATTATATAAATCTTTTAAGATGTGAATATTCAATTTAAAACATAAAAATTTTAGAAATTTATACTTAACTTTTTCAATAATATTTAATAAGGAAAATAGTACGGTGTTCAGGTAATTGATCCAAACTCAAGATGGGACCTAACCACAAAAAGTATATTGTTTTCAAAGCATTGGTATTTTTAAAATTAATCGTTGTTCTATTAATCAATCCCAGCATCTTAAAAACTTTTTTAAAACAATTATTAATGTGAAAGGAAAAATCCATATTAAAATGAAAGAGAATCCCTAAGTCTCTGAATGAAGTAACTCTTATAACTAAATAATTATCAATCGTATAATTATAGATTGTAATTATATTTATACGAGAAAACGTAATTATGTTACACTTATTTATATTTGGTAGGCGATTAACAAGACTCCAATCAACAAATATATTCAAATTTAATTGTAATTTAATGCATCATTTAAAGGTTTAATAACTAAACCTTTAAACTGGAAAAAATACCTACACTTAGTAATTTATTGAAAAACAAATGAAGAGGACATGCAAGTACTGCATTACAAGATTTTAAAAACGTAGGTGGAATACCATCAGGTCCAGTCCCAGCATAAAAATCTACAGAATTTAAATAATTAACAATTTCATTGAGATCAATAGACCAGGAGCTTAAAAACAAATCAAAATTGATTTCATAAGATGAAACTTCTCCATTGAAGAGGAAAAGCCGGCGTATAAATACTGGAAAAGTAATTTGCAAAAAATTGAGCAGTTTCAGTAACTTCAGAAGAAGATGAATTATTAGAATTAATGCAATCAGGAATAATATTATTTGACTTTTTTTAGAAAATTAACATATTTCCAAAATAGGTTTGATATTTGTTTGAATACTGAATGAACGCAGCGCCCAGTGGTACTAACGCGGGTTTGTTAACGTTCGTTGTTTTATCTTTTCTTAAGTCAGGCTATGTCGAGAAAAGGGATAAGGTGAGTGGACTGTATGAATGACAGTAGAATGAATTTTCAGAACAATTAAATGTAATATATATATAAATATACCAATGTGGATGGGGACACTTAATACTAATGACACAATGGCGCTGATTAAACAAATAATAGATTACAAATGTGAATAAATTTTAAAATGAAGATGAACAAGCATTTTACTTGTCGGCTAATTGTAACAGCTGATGATAATGTTGAATATTGAATGGATAAATTGAAATCAAATGCAATTAGATATAATTAGAGTACAATATGCCGTGAACGGTACTGTCATGTATCTCAGAAAACAAATAAACCCAAAGGCGATATACTGAGAGCGCATTAGGTTACGACAATCGCAATAGTGATATTTCATAATTTACAACAAAATAAATACAAAAACTATGGTTCGCAAGCGTCATAGAGCTTATAGCTACAAGGCGTTAAGATGGCGGCGACAATACAGACATAGAGAGAAGACCGACAACAACTTGGTTTAGCACAACGATAGCATAAGAAATTACAACACAATTCCTCGACAGCACATTCGACCGATGTGTATCCAACAAATACTGTACTCGACATTAGCAATATGTTGAGCATGACATATAGTAATTAATTGTATGTCTTTGTTTCTAAGATTAGAAAATTCTAAATTATTGTCATCAGAAGTAAAAAAAAATGAATTTTTTGTAAGCACATTTCTTTTTTATAATACATTCTCCGAGTTCAGAATTAGCCCAAATAGGGGGATAATCATTATATATTTTAATCTTGGGTGCCATTAAATCGAAAAAATGATAAATAATTTCATAAAATGTTTTTGTCAAATATAAACGTGGATAGAAAAAATGTTTAACACCTGTATTTTTTCTTTTATAATAATTGCCAAAACAAACAAGATTATACTTGCCAAAAGCTTGTATAAAAAAAAAAGTTAAACAAAACACATTAGAAGAATCTACTCAAAAATAACTTTCTGGTGAAATAAATATAAGTGTATAATTGATATTACCTATTAAAACATTATATTATAACAAGTGGTGTGGAATGTTAATTGAGACATAAATAATGTGTGGATTAGATTAGCAAAGGGGATTGTTGGTGAGAGTAGGAATAGAATTCTAGTAGATAGGGAAACCTGGTGGTGAGATGAGAACGTTCAGAAAATCATAAAGAGTAAGAGAAATCAGCTCGCATCGAATCTTTTATTTGGGGAAAATATTGATCATTATCAATGCTAATTTTATACCGAAGATTCTAAAAACTAATTATTACTTTATAAATCAAGAAATATACGTAACAAATAAGTTTTATCTGTAATATATATCTTATAAAATTATTTAGATTTGTTCATTTTTCAATAAGTTATGGAAAGTTTTAGAAAAAAATGTCAAACTTTATCGATTTTAAAAATCGAAATTTTTTGGGAGATTTCTATCATTTACGTGGAACGAGGACAATTTTTTCAATTTTTAACGAATCGTTGAAAGAAATCGGTCCAGTGAGAGCTGAATAAAAGTGGTAACAAACAAACAAAAAAAAAACACCTCATAGTAAAATTAATACCTTCTCAGCTTCACATCGAAGCTAAAATACATACTTATTAAAAACGCTTTTATATTTAAAATGATTACTTTATAAATGTTTTTTAAAGGTGGTTATTTATTATTTTGATAAAGGGGACTTTTAAAAATATAACAAATAAATAGTGAATTACTAATTTTCATGTTGAGAGGCAAATTTTTTTGTTGCATGTTAATTTTTTACTATGCCCTTAAACTTTTTTTCATAGTGATGATTTTAGTTGCTGTTCTCTATGTATTACATATATACGTATATTAGATTAATGTATGATATTTTGTACAAATTTATTTTTAGGTCATAGAAAACTTCAAAATTAATACCTTTTTAACTTCGCATCGAAGCTAAAAGGAAACTTAGTTAAAAATTTTCGGACATTCTGATAAAAAATATTAATTATAAAAAATGTTCAGTACAGGAATTAAAACGGTTATTCTTAGAAACGATGACTGAAGTCCTTCTTACGTATTTGATGATTAAATCATATTCACCATTTGATATACAAGACGCTAATTCATGGAGGAGTTTCTTTATAATATTCCACTAATAAAGAGTGAAATTATATCATTATCTAATAAAAAAGAGTAGTTGGTTATCTATATTCCGATTTGAAAAATTTAAAACGATACTCTTATAAAGTATAAGAAATGAATATTAAAAATATTTCATGACTGATAAATTGAGAAAAACAATACTAAATTATTTAATATCAATATTAATTTCATACTAAATTTAATTAAAGTATATTAATTTATTTAAATATAGTTATAAAACAATAATAAAACATTAATTTTTAAATTTAATATATGTATGTTTATATTTTTGTCAAATATAACGTGGATAGAAAAAATTTTTAACACCTATATTTTTTCTTTTATAATAATTTCCAAAATAAACAAGATTATACTTGCCAAAAACTTGTATAAAAAAAAAACGAGTTAAACATAACACATTAGAAGCATCTACTCAAAAATAACTTTCTGGTGAAATAAATATAAGTGTATAATTGATATTACCTATTAAAACATTATATTATAACAAGTGGTGTGGAATGTTAATTGAGACATAAATAATAAGTGGATTAGATTTGCAAAAGGAGATTGTTGGTGAGAGTAGGAATAGAATTCTAGTATATAGGGAAACCTGGTGGTGAGATGAGAACGTTCAGAAAATCATAAAGAATAAGAGAAAGCAGCTCAAAGTATAGCGGAACACCAAAAGGAGAAATGAGTAGACAAAGAATAATAGGAAAAAGAGTATGACAGAGTACCCAGAAGTTTTAAAGTAGACATTAATGAGAACTTAAGAATAAGTAATAATATAAAGAATAAGACAGAGTATATAGATTACGAGTTTGACAAAGGAGAACACGAGGTAGGTGAAATGAGCAGATCAGTGATAATAAGCAAGGACGTGATAGGATAGATGAAATATTTTACTATTGAGGATCAGTTGTGCAAAAGAGCAGTGGTATTGACGAGGATGTAGGGCACATAATTAGTGCAGGTGGTAGAAGTGGAGGGAAGCGTCTGGTGTCTTATATGATAAAAGAATTCCAATTAGGCTGAAAGATAAATTCTAAAAGACTGTAGTGAGACCAGCTATGATGTATGGTCCAGAGTGTTGGGCGGTTGACAAGAGAATAGAGCAGAGAATGAATGTAACAGAGATGAGAATGCTTAGATAGATTAGTGGAGTTACTAAAGAAGATAGAATTAGAAACGAACATAATAGAGGGAATATAGGTGTAGGGACATTCGTAAATAAATTGAGAGAAAATATACTTAGATGGTTTGGTCATGTTATGAGGAGGGAAGAATCGGAAGGTGTAAGAACAGTTATAGAAATGAATGTTGAAATAAGAAAGGATAGAGGGCAATTAAAAAAGATATTGGGGGATGCTATTAAATGCAATATGTGGACGACTGATGTGTACGTAGATGATGTGGGATGTTGTGTCAAGTTGAAGTTTAATAAAAGGGTCCGATCCCAAGTAGTTGGGTTAGAGGCGAGGAAAAAGAAGAAGAATATTTATTTTTTATAGTTTTTTCTATTTTAAGTAAAAATAGTAACAAAAGAAATGGCAAAGAATTTTATTTTCTTGTAAAAACATGAAAATAAAATTTTTTTTTATTAACTTCGGCGGCCATTTAAAACAAGAAAATAAAATGTTACGGAAAATTTTTATTTTTAACGTATAGTACAAGCATTTAATAAGTATATTACAACCCATTTTCCATTGCACTTTTAAGTACAGTTTTTTTTTAAATTTGAATTTTACCAATTGATAAAATCGTTATGCTTGGGGATATTTTCATTATTTACGGTGAACAAGGAAAATTTTTATCAATTTTTAGGGTAATGACTTCAACTAAATACAATTTGTGAACTTTTTATTATTGTGCGTTTAGTAAATTCAGTCATGTGGCAATATGTGGCAACACTCTTAAAATAGAAAAATAAACACATTATAGAAAAATTAATATTTTTTTCATCTTCATATTGAGGCAAAAAAGTGACTTGAGTGTTTTTTCTGTATACACTTCATATGTCATAATAATAATAGATAATCAATTAAATAAATTACCTTGAAATCTGACAATGAAGCCATTAAATCATCTAATTCACGAGTAGCAGAAGAAGCAGTTGGACAAACAGTACGTGTTGTTGTTGTTGTTTCTTCCATCATCATTTTTTTGACTATATGACCATTGTTACTAAAAAAAAATAGAAATTATAAATGATCAGCCTGAACAATAATTTTAATCAGTTACAATATTTCAAATAATGTTAAATCACTTAATATTTTTTAAATAGAATATTGCTATATAATGGCAATATATGATATATTTAGATATTTTAGAAAAGAAATATTTACGCAAATATAAGTTATATTAAATTGATTTTTTTAGTTTCAAAGAGAAGCTGAGAAGGTATTAATTTTATAATGATGTGTTTTTTAAATTATATATTTAATATTTAACTGTTTGATAACATACATGTGATCTATTAAGTATACTACTACTTATTTGTTTGTATTATATTATGTTTATATATTATTGTATTATTACCTTAAGAGTTGTTAAGATTTTTAGTTTAATGTTAGGGGGGTGCGTAACATTGAAGAATTTTTATCTCTGTATTATGATAAAAATAAAGCGTCGTTAAACAATACCCTGCTCCTTACCTTTTCTTAATCCTCAAATGCTAATATAGCAAAAAGTAATAATATAAGACTTCTTAACAATCAGTAAACATATTATTTAGACCACATCTACATTTAATAGTTAAAAAATACTAATAGGTTCTTATTTAATTTTCGAAAATTACCCCTAATATCTTCCTTTAGAAATCATTTTTTTTATAACAACTTTATATTTATAATAGTTTATAAAAATAAATTTAAATTAAATTTTTTCATTTTTATAAAAAAATTATAATAAAAATTTGGGAAGGTAGTGTACTTAATAAATTATACTTTATATATAGGTTGATTTTTTTATCATAACCTACTTAACTATTTACAGAATAAAAATCATTTAAACATTTTGTTTTTTTTGTTATCATTAATCACATATTATTCTTAAATTAGCTATGTAATACTTTTTAAATCTTTCCCTTAAGCTATTTAAGTGTAATACAATTTTTGAATTATTATACATGTATAATATATGAAAGATTACAAATACAAGTAGCTAATTGTTTTTTATGACGTCGATATTCGCAGATACGCAGCATTTTTTAACAATGATAGTCAGAAACATTGTTGTAAGTTTATAAATACATCAACTGGTAATACAAAAAGCATATCAATTGATAAAACCATAATTGACTATAATCGCTCCATATCTGTGATAGTAACAACATAAAAAACATTAAGCTACTTATAGTTGTAATCCCTCATATATTATACATGTATAATAACTCAAAAATCTGAAACTTTAAAGTTTAATATCTAATAAACAAATAATGTTATGTTAAAAGTTCAAATGACATTTAATATTCATATAAAACTTTTTAATGTAAGGAAATAACATGTAAGGGTCAATCTATGTCAAATCATCTAGAAGTGTTTGCAAGACCACTTCATATTTTAAATAAATTTTCAGGGTTTATTCTTTTAGTTATAAATAGATTTAGCTTCGATGAGAAGCTGAGAAGGTATTAATTTTACCATGATGTGATTTTTCTTTTTTTTTTGTGACTGTCACTACTTTTTCTCAGCTCTCACTGGACCGATTTCTTTCAACAATACGTCAGAAGATCACAAATCGTATCTAGTTGAAGACATTATCCTTAAAAATTGAAATTTTTCCCTCATTCCCCGCAAATGGGGTAAATCTCCAAAAAAATTACAATTTTAAAAATCGGTAAATTTTATCATTTTTTTTATTTTATTTTCTTTCCTTCCATAACTTTTTCAAAAATCAACGAATCAACATAATTTTTTTTTTATACTAAAACCTTAGATATTTCCCTTTCATTTGATATCATTTATTTGAAAATTTAATGCTTAACCTTATCACACCTTATCTACTATGAGCAAATTGCTGTCGAAATTTAAAAAAAAATGTAATATTTGCGATAAAAATCACCTTCTATAAGGATGTTTTTTGTATTTAAAACTGCTATAGCTTTTTCAAATATTAACAAATCAACATAATATTTTTTTATATTGAAACCTTAAGTAATTTCCTTTCGTTTGATATCATTATTTTTGAAAATCTAACACTTATTCTGCTCAAAAGCGGGATTTAAAATAACAGCTTTTTTACAAGAACTAACTTTTTCAACTTAATTTTTGAAAATGTTCCAGAAATACTGCGTTCTTTAAACATATATCAAATTAAAGCTTATTTTATGTACTATAAAATAAAATAAAAAAATTTGTCCCGACGACCTATCTTCTATGCGCAAATGGCTACCGTATTCAAAAATAAGCTATTTTTGTGTTAAAATCCTGGGTTTTGTATTTTATTTTATTTTAAAATATCTTATAAGGGCAATACACTGACTTCCATGAATATTTTATAATTTAATTGACATAGAATAAAGTTCATAAGGCATAAGAAATTAAACTTATTAAATTTTTTTGCTTTTTTGAAGTCGAAAAAGTAACTTTTATAACTTAAACTAAATACGAATTGTAATCATTTGATGAATCGTTGAAAAAGCAGATCTAGTGAGGGTTGGCAAAATAAATCTTAATAACAAATAGAACCACATAGTAAAATAATAATAACATGAATATAAATTTTTTCTCATAAGGGGACACTATAGTGATAGGATCCTTTATATTTATTGAAGTTATTGAATCTAAATGAGATAAATATCAAATGATTTGAAAATATTATTCTAACTCAAAAAAAAAAATGCAAAATATTAATAGCCATAGACGGATTTGAACCTCGTATCGCAAGCATGAAAGAAACAAGTGTTACCGATTCGGCAACCGTTCGTCGCTTTCCTAGCCCGATAAAATTAACTATTTAAGCTAAGTCAAATTTAAAAGTTACTTTTTCGACTCTAAAAAAGCAAAAAAATTTAATAAGTTTAATTTCTTATGTCTTATGAACTTTATTCTATGTCAATTAAATTATAAAATATTCATGGAAGTCAGTGTATTGCCCTTATAAGATATTTTAAAATAAAATAAAATACAAAACCCAGGATTTTAACACAAAAATAGCTTATTTATGAATACGGTAGCCATTTGCGCATAGAAGATAGGTCGTCGGGACAAATTTTTTTATTTTATTTTATAGTACATAAAATAAGCTTTAATTTGATATATGTTTAAAGAACGCAGTATTTCTGGAACATTTTCAAAAATTAAGTTGAAAAAGTTAGTTCTTGTAAAAAAGTTACTATTTTAAATTCCCCCCACCCCATGAGCAGGTTAAGTGTTAAATTTTCAAAAAAAATGATAACAAATGAAACGAAAATATCTAAGGTTTTAGTATAAAAAAAAATTATGTTGATTCGTTGATTTTTGAAAATATTATGGAAGTATTAAGAAAATAAAATGAAAAAAATGACAAAATTTATCGATTTTTAAATTTGTAATTTTTGAGGATATTTTCGCCATTTGCGTGAAACGAGGGAAAATTTTTTAATTTTTAAGGGTAATGTCTTCAACTAGATACTATTTGTGATCTTTTGACGTATTGTTAAAAGAAATCGGTCCATGAGAGCTGAGAAAAAGTAGTGACAGTCACAAAAAAACAAAAAAAAATAAATAAACACATCATCGTAAAATTAATATCTTCTCAGCTTCGCATCGAAGCTAATATGTCAAAAGAGCACAAATTGTATCTAATTGAAAACATTTCCCTCGTGTCCCGTAAATGGGAGAAATCTCAAAAAATGTACAAATTTAAAAATCGCTAATTTTCGAAATTTTCTAAATTTTTTTACTTAAAACTGCCATAACTTTTTCAAAAATGAACAAATCAATATATTTTAGCTTCGATGCGAAGCGGAGAAGGTATTAATTTTACTATGATGTGTTTTTTTTTTTTTTTTTATGTCTGTTGCCACTTTTTCTCAGCTCTCACTGGACCGATTTCTTTCAAAAATACGTCAAAAGATCACAAATCGTATCTAGTTGAAGACATTACCCTTAAAAATTGAAAAAAATTCCCTCGTTCCCCGCAAATGGGGGAAATATCCAAAAAAATTACAAATTTAAAAATCGCTAATTTTCGAAATTTTTTCACTTTTTTTTCTTAAAACTTCCATAACTTTTTGAAAAATCAACAAATCAACATAATTTTTTTTTATACTTAAACCTTAGATATTTCCCTTTTATTTGATATCATTTTTTTGAAAATCTATTACTTAACCTGCTCATTGGGGGGGATTTAAAATTTATTTAATTTAAAATTTTTTACAAAAATTAATTTTTTCAACTTAATTTTTGAAAATGTTCTGGAAATACTGCGTTCTTACACATATATCAAATTAAAGCTTATTTTATGTACTACAAAATGAAAAAAAAAAATTTGTCGCGACACTTTTTTTTCTACATTTAAACGGCTGCCGTAGTTAAAAAAACACTATTTTTGTGTTAAAATTTTCGATTTTCGATTTTAAATTTTCAACTTAAAAATGCTATAACTTTTTGAAAAATGTATATATCAGCACAATTTTTTTTTTCTAAATACATTATAAGTACATCTTTCATTTGACATACTTTTTATTAAAATTGGACAATTTCCCCTTATATAGGGGGCGTTCAAAACTTAAAATATTGTAAAAAACATAGATCTTTTTCAACTGAACTTTTGAAAATGTTCCGGAAATACTGCGTCCTTTAAACATATATCAAATCAAAGGTTATGTTATATACTATCAAATGAAAAAAAAAAATTTGTCCCGACATCTTATCTTCTATGTGCAAATGGCTGTCGAAAATTTAAAAAAAAATGTAATGTTTGGGATAAAAATTACATTTTATCGGGATGTTTTTGTACTTAAAACTGCCATAACTTTTTCAAAAATGAACAAATATAAATAATATTCTNATAACTTTTTCAAAAATGAACAAATAAAAATAATATTTTTTTGTATTGAAACCTTAGATATTTCCCTTTCATTTGATTTAATTTTTTTTGAAAATCTAACACTTATTCTGCTCACTGGGAGGATTTAAAACCCAACCCAACCCACNATTTTTTTATCGCATAAGACGCCAGACGCTTCTTTCCACTTCAAACACCCGCACTTAATTCTGTGTCTTACATCCTAGTCAATACCACCACTCTTTTGCACAACTAATCCTAAATAATTAAAACTTTCCACCTCTCCAATCACGTCCTCGCCTATTATCACCCACCTCATGTTTTCCTTTGTTAAATTCATGCTCTATGTACTCTGTCTTACTTCTACTTATTCTTAAACCATTTTCTTCAATAGCTGATCTCCACATCTCTAGCTTTTGATTAATTTCCTCCCTATTTTCTCCTATTAACACTATATCGTCAGCAAACAACATGCACCACGGCACCTCTCCTTGTATTTCTCTAGTAATTTCATCTATCACTATAGACTCTATAGTATTCTATAGTATAGAGAATAAGTAAGGGCTTAAAACAGAACCTTGGTGCACTCTTACTCTTACCCTAATACCTTCTGATACCCCTCTTACCCTTTTTACCCCGGTACAAGTGCCATCATACCTTCTTACTATATATATAAGGAAATAATCATGTTTCTATAGGTTATCTTTTACCTACAATGATAGCTATTCAAAAAGCATTATGTGAAATCAATGGTTTATATTACTGGGAAACATTGGGTCAATCTTCCCTCCAAAATAAATTTAAATAATTTTTGTTTCTAACAATAAACCATGTTAGGTTTAATCCATAATTAATGTTAAATTTTAATGGTATTATTTTTTTTAGTTAATATTATTGTCGAGATTTAATTGAATTTAACTTTTTAAAGTCACCTTTACCTTTAAATATTAGCACCACAATACTATTCCTCCATTCATTTTGAATTTTCCCTTTTAATAAGATTTTATTTAAAAGTTCCATTATTAAAAATAAAAATCAATAATAATTTGAAAAGATTTAATTATAAAAATTATATTTTTTATTTTAATAATTACTAATGCTTTTGTAATTATCCACCATTTTCATAGAATTAAATACTATCTAGAGATTTGCATCGAAGCGTTTCTTATGATAATGATTTTAATCAGTGTCAGATTAAATTTATATTGGACCCAACTATACCACATTCCCACTGTGCCGCGATTCACTGTTCTGGGTTTTTTTAAATTGAAATAGTCAGAAAAGTGGGAAGGTCATAAAAAAAATTGTTTTAATCTAATTATAGCATAAAGAATAAACCCTGAAAATTTAAGAAAAAAATCAGGTCGTGCAACCATTTGGATGATTTGGCATGGATTGAACCGTAACTAAAGGTATCAAAATAAAAAAATGTTTAAATTATTTTTGTTCTATATGTAATTGAGTGGGTTATGCTACAAATTCATATATGTATAATGAGTATAAATATACTCTGTATAGAGATAGTTAACTTTGTGGCATCTGTCAAATTAAAAAATAATAAGGCTGTATACCTTTGTGAAGTAAGTGATGTATCCAATTCATCTAGAAGAGAATCTACTGAAGGACGATTCTGAATAGAATTTGAGTTTCTGAATGGAATTGAATACGAATCTCCATTTACAACTAAAAAATAAAAAATAGAAAAACAAATAAATACTTATGTTTAAAAAAACCTAATTTTGGTTACATTAAAATATTTGTTTTTTTAAGTTTTCAAGTATGTTTTTTAAATTATTAATTATATTTTTATATTGACACTTACAAAACATTTAATTAGATCACAAATCAAAAATAATTTTAATTTATGATAAAAAATAACTAGACATATTTAAATTATTCGTATAAATTATCTCCGTAAGGTATTTTCAGAATAGCTGCATTTATGTGCTAAATAAAACTATAACAAAATAATTAACAGAATAATTAATTACAATTTACAACCGTAATAACACGTGAAAATTATTTATAAGGTGGTTTATGCATTAGAAAATTATTTAGTAGTCTCCCCACTGTCTATTAATCAAATTTATAACTTCTATTAAATGGCTCAAAAAGATGGATTCTCATCCATATT